AGCGCGGGGCCGGCGGGGCAAGCGGCGCACAGCGCATGCAGAAGGCCAAAGCGCAGAGAGCCCCCGCCCCCGCCCCCGCCGCCGCTGCTGCCGCTGCTGCTGCTGCTGCTGCTGCTGCTGGTTAAGAAACGACGTCGATCTTGATTCCGTACTTGCAGTTGTCTGCGTTTTGGGCCTTGGTGACGTCGAGCTGCGTGCCAATGGTGGCCTGCAAGTTGCTGCAGAGTCTGTGGCTGAGGGCCACCGCGAGAAGTCCGTTTTGGGAGATCTTGGACTTCACAATTGTGTCTTTTTCTTCGCTCAAGTGCCACAAACCTCCGAAACTAATGTTGCTTTTGTTCTCCGCAATGTTGTACTCCACTTCTGCTGCCAGCTCCGCCCCGCGGCCCTCCACGGACCTTCCGTTCAAGCTCCCTATCACCTTCCCGAACATCAGGCTGCCCGCGGGGGCCCTGCAGCAGCAGCAGCAGCAGCAGCAGCAGCAGCAGCAGCAGCAGGGGGTGCGGCGTTCAGGCGCGGTGCGCGGGGCTCTGCAGCTGCGGCAGCAGCTGCGCGCGGTCCGGTGCGGCGGGTCTGCAGATTTTGGTTTTGAATTTTGGTTTTTGAATTAAAATGGAACTAAATAAATATTGTTTTGGTTTTAAATTCAAACTTGCACACAAATCCAGCTTACGTCTTCACAGCAGCCATCCAGCTGCCCCCCTTCATCCCGGGCGTCGGCGCCGAGTAAGACGCCGCCAACGCGTACTTCATCCCGGAGGCGTCGAGTTTGCCGGAAACTTCGCCTGAAAGGGAGTTTAAAAGCGCAAAATGATAAAATAAATGCAAATTCATCAAATAAAAACAAAAAAAACGAAAAAAAAGACTATTTCCTCCGAGTTTCCGACGCTTTCCACCCCGCTCACCGCCGAAACGGAAACGGTCGTAGGTGAAGGTTCCCGAGGAACTGAAGGTCCGCAGCAACGGGTTCACCTGGGGAAACAAAAGCAAAAATAAATTGAAAGGAAAAAAGCGATTTAAAATTAAAAAGAGCTTTTAAATTTATTCAAATTATAAAAAGAAGCAAAGAAACGCATCGCAGCACAACTGCAGCAAACCGCGCATTCAGAAATTCAACTTTCAGGTTTTGACGCAGCAGCTCCTCTCGGATTGAAAGAAATGGGAAAAAAGAATTCTTTTCGAAATCCGAAAAGAATCTCCTTTCGCATTTCGTTGAATCCCCCATTTATTCACTTCCCCATTCCTGAAAGCTGCTCCGTTCTGCTGCTGCTGCTGCTGCTTTGCTCACATTCAGGATGCTGTGGAAGCGCGGAGTGACGTATTCTGTGGAGAAGTCGAAAAGATCTGAAGTATTCTTTTCTCCCTTTCTTTCATATTTGGTGGAAATGATCAAATTGGGCAGCTGGGGAATCTGCGGCAGCCGAGACGCAGAAAGTGGAAAAAGTTGAACTGGTGGCGATCCGGCAGCAAACGCGCGAGTTCGAGAGGAATCCGACAAAAATTGAATTCAAAATTATGAATTATATTCACAATTTAAAAATTAAAAGAAATAAACAAAAGATTCTGATGAATTCCGGAAATTCAACACGAACTCACCGCCCGCAACAGCTGCGCACCCCCCACCCCAAACCCCAAACCCCAAACCCTAAACCCTAAACCTTAAACCCTAAACCCTAGACCCTTAGATTATATTATTAATTACAAGCAATTAATTCAATTAATTCAATTAGTTACCTTGTAAGACAAATCCACATAAGATCTTCCTGCAGAAAAGACTTTCACTTCCGCCTTCGCCTCTCCAGCGGAATACACCAAAGAAGAAGAAGCGTCAAAACCCCCGTGGCTGCCCACGCCCGCAACGTTCGTTATTTGCTGCAGCAAACCCTAAACCCTAAACCCTAAACCCTAGAACCCAAGCCCTGGGCTCCAAAACCCTGAACCTTGAAGCTTAAATCCTGAATCCTGAACTCTGAATCCTAAATCTCAAACATTTAATGTCTAATTTAATTAGTTTGCAAACTAATCATTAAATAATTAATTAAATAATTAAATAAACATAAATAATGACTGAATAACTAGGTAGGGTTCGAGACGTCGAGACAGAAAACTTAATCGTAAAAGACAAAAACTACATAATTAATAATAAATAAATTTGAATGAACAAATATAATAAATAATAAATAATAAATAATAAAACAATTAACAACTAATGAAATAATAAATGATAAATAAACAATAAATAATAGTAAAAAATAAAACAAACCGAATGGCAAATGGGGGCAAAAATAGTGAAGTTCATAAAAATTGAATGGCAAAAAATAAAAACAAATTCAAAAATCAAAATAAAGATAATGGATTCAAATAAAAGATAAACCAAGTAAATCAAAATAAATAAAGAAATAAAACGGACTTAAAGTTTAAAACAAAAGCAAAATTCAAAAACAAGAATTGATTTAAAACTAAATAAAATCAAAAACAGATAAAATGCCATTTTAATTTCATTTCTCAAAAATTAAAAAAAGACAAAAAATAAAGATTAACTCAGAAACCAAAAGAGATAAAAGATATTCTTTTAATTGTTAATTCACTTTTACTTATTTATTATCTATTTATATATTTATCTTTAAATTTATTTATTTATTTACTTATTTACTTATTTATTGGTTCCCCTGGTAGTTGGCCAATCTGTTTTAATGTTAAATTTAATTCTTACTTTTTATTTATTCAGCTTTTGATTTACTTCTTTTAAAGCATGTATTCATAATTCCAAATTAGTTAATTAATTAATTAAATAATTAATTAATTAATCACCTTATTTATAATTAATTAATTAAATAATTTATTTATTCATTTATTTATTTCTTACGGGATTTTTGGACTTGTATTTGTACTCCAACTCCCAGGGCTTCTCGTGGGGAAATCCTTTTCCCAGGAGATCTGAAAATAAAGAAATAAAACAAATAAAATAAATAAATATAAATATTAAAAAATGAACAAATAAACAAATAAAAATACAGATATATAAACAGGCAAATAAATATAAATAATTGTTCAGAAAATGCGCAAAAAGGCAGTTTGTAGAAGCAGCAGAAGCGTGAGTGTTTGCGAGTAAACTGCTGCTGTTGCTGCTGCTGCTGCTGCTGCTGCTGCTGCTGCTACAGCAACAGCAGAGAGCCATCGAGATATGGAGGAGAGCAGTGGGCGCTGCTCCTGCAGCGCTTTTCCCCTTTTTGTCGAGGGTTTAGGGTTTAGGGTTTAGGTTGAAATGTTTGAACAAAAGAAGTGGAACTTCTGTCAACTCTGCTGCACGCGCAGCCAAAGGCAGCATGCAGCAGCAGCAGCAGCAGCTGCAGCAAACTGCGGCTGCTGCTGTTCAGCGGGCGCAAGCTGAGAAAGAAGCCCCGAAACACCAAACCCTAAACCTTAAACCCTAAACCCTAAGCCGTGAATCCTGAGGGAAGAGAGCAGATAGGCGCACCGGAGGCGGGCTTGCCAATATCTTTGAACAAGACCATTTTTGCTCGTTTTGTCCTTTTTCTAACCCTAATTTCCACGAGAAATGAATAATTTTATTCTTTTTAA